AACCCCATCAGACTCAACGGAGGCCGACCTACGGTGCGCATGATCATGAAGCATGAACCAGAGTCACGAGGTCCGGTGAGGTTTCCACAGCAACACAGTGACATCCACAAACATATGTATACACTCACAACTACTAAGTCAGCAGATTACATAATACGAGAGGAGTCAAGAATTTAAACACGAATAAACTGGTTCCAGAGATTCCCTTCTCCCTCTCCCACACGCACGCGCTGGCGCCACGCCGGAGAGGAAGAAGATGGCGGCGGAGTTAGGGTCAAGGTTCTAGCGGGTTAGGAAAACTCATCTCCAGCGGCTCTAGAAGGGTGTTGGGGGCCGGCGGCCGTGACACGACGGTGGTGGCGGGTTAAAAGGCGGCGTGAGCGAGGCGGGGGGGCAACCGGTTCGGCGGGGTTAGCAACAGGGGCGTCACAGCGGTGCTCGTCGGCGAGCTGCTGTGGTTAGGGTGGGCGGGGTCGAGGGGTGGGGCGGGTTGCGGGTGGCGCGGTGAGACGGCTCGCTGTCGGCCACCAGTAGTGGAGGCGGGGGCAAGGGAGGGCGAGGACGAGGATGACACCAGCGAACTTCCGTGAGGTTAGGGGAGCGCGGGACAGAGCGACGGGGGCCGGAGGTGGGTGGCGCGACCGGCGGCGAGGCTACCGCTGGCCGGGTGCGGCGGGGGAGGAAGGGAGCGCGGGGATGAAGAGGGTCGCATACTCCCTGAGCGGGCGACCGGTCGTAACCTATCTCTGTCAAAAAATAAAGAGAGAACTCCGGCACACTACCCTTGGTGACTACCATTCCTGCGCTTGTCACGACTCGATGTCTGCATCATCATCCATCAAACTGTCAATTGAAGCTAAGTGATCATTTTTTCGAGACAAAAAGAGGGTAAACGGTTAGAGATGAGGTTGCAAGCCCATTATTTTTCCCTTTCGTTCCCTATAACTATTACAGCCTCCAAGATAGTAATAAACTTTCAGCAGCAAAAAAATATAGCGGGAATTCAAGGGAAGGCAGTCATCATTTTATTTACAAATACCAGCGGCCTGATTGTTGCCTGTCTCTATAAATAGAGCCAAATAGGTTTATGGATCAAGATGACCTGATTTTCAGAAAACTGAACAAAAATAGCAACCCATTTCTAAAAAAGTTATAATTCACATGATTTTTCAAGCAAAATACAAATATGTGCGCCTTCCTAGCGATTTGAAGCCATGAGCCTCACATGTCCTCTTCGTACCATTGCACTAAACACCCACTCGTAACTTGTAAGTGGTAGGAATATGGTGATATGATACCCTTTTATATTAATCTTTAAGAATCATATATTGAATCTTTCAACCATCAAACGATTTCAAATAAAAAAAGTTTAGACTAAAAGGTTTTAGATCTCATCAAGGACTACAATTTTGATATAGGGATTGTCTTTATCCAATATCATTTAAAATTTTTGGGAATTTTAATCTCAAAATCTAATAATTTCAAATTAAATATTTAGGAATAAATATTTTCAAATAAAATCTTGTAAACTGCAAAGTTATTGATCGTGTTGACAACTATAACCTTAGCATAGATCATGTCAACATCTCGATTCAATTGAAAATTCTGAATTAAGAAATCTGAGAGCATAAAATGAATTTTTAGGACTCAAAGTTACTTGAAATAAAAAAATTATCAACTACAAAGTTATTGATCATATTGATAACTAGAAAATTTGTATAGAACATGTCAACATTTGAGGTGGCCCGCAAATTCTAGATTTTGAATTTCAATATCTAAGAACTTATATCGACTTTAGAGACTCTAAATAACTTCAAATCAAAATTTTTAATTACATAGTTGTAGATCTCGTTGAGCTCTATAATTTTGATATATAGTTCGTCTTCAAAAGACTTCATATGCAAAAAAAATATGAATTTTTTTAAGATAATTAATTGTACCGGTGGACCTCTTAAGCTAAGAACAAATCAGTTTATAGAGGTGATACTCTCAAAAGCCCGCCTATGTTACAACTTCACCAGGTCGAGAACACTCAATCCACTATATAAGAGAACTGAGAAATTTAAACTAGGTGATTACCCATAAGTTGCTACATGAATTTAGACAATAACTTTAGATGAATTATCTATAAAGGAAAGTTAGTAAAACCCGAAGATATCATATAGAAAAATGAAACTCAAAATAGATATTAAAATATGATGGCTTATTTTAGAATATATACCTACTAAATTCTATCCAATGTACACCATCAATGATAAGACACCCCCAACACACACACACTCCCCTCCCTCCCTACCCCCCCCCCCCCCCCCCCACCACCACCACCACCACCCTAATAATGCTGCAGTAGGCACATGAAAAAACTGATCAAATAAAGTAAACTATGTGTACCTAGAGGCAGGCTAGAGTGATAGAAACCTCAGGAAAAGCAATATCTAGTAGTTTGTAGATTCTTTAAGAGCCTCATCTTGTACTGCGATGGAACACCGCATGCATGAATATCTCGGATAATATCTAGTAGTTCATAGATTCTTTAAGAGCCTCATCTTGTACTGCGATGGAACACCGCATGCATGAATATCTCGGATAATATCTAGTAGTTAGATTCTTTAAGAGCCTCATCTTGTACTGCGATGGAACACCGCATGCATGAATATCTCGGATAATATCTAGTAGTTCATAGATTCTTTAAGAGCCTCATCTTGTACTGCGATGGAACACCGCATGCATGAATATCTCGGATAATATCTAGTAGTTCATAGATTCTTTAAGAGCCCCATCTTGTAGTACCCGTATTCCAACTCCGATGGAACACATGCGTGAATATCTCACATAATATCCGGTACTCCCTCTGTTCTAAAATAAGTGATGTTTGAGGTTTGTCCTAGGTCAAACCGTTTCAAGTTTGATCAAATTTATAGAAAAGAATATCAATATTTATGAAACCAAATGGGTAGAATATAAAAATATATTTTATGATAAATCTAACCATACTTATTTGGTATCATAAAAATTAGCAGTTTTTTTTATAAATTTGGTCAAACTTAAAAAAGTTAGACTTAGGATAAAGTCAAAACATCACTTATTTTGGAACGGATGGAGTAGTTCCTAGATTCTTTAAGAGCCTCGTCTTGTAGTACCTGTATTCCAACTCCGATGGAACACCACATGATGCATGAATATCTCGCATAATATCTAGTAGTTCCTAGATTGTTTAAGAGCCTCATCTTGTAGTACATGTATTCCATCTTGCATGTGGCAGTGTTTGGGTAGGACATGGATGCGTGTGGCAGTGCCTAAGCAATAAGCAGATGCACCGCTGCATGAAGGCTCTCTTGTCTGTGAGATTACTTGGAGGCTTTTCTTCGTGATGGCGATGAGCCGATGAAATGACCTCCCTGGAGAAGCTTAGAAGAATATGAGGATGTTGGTGGTGGGAGAAGTAACTTATATAGACAACACTCAACCCGCTTCCCTCATCTACTACTACTAGCATGCATGCAGGCTCTACGGTTGCATAGCTAGCATTTAACACACATGGGTGGGAGAACAGTTTTAGGAAGACATTGGGTCGGGAGAGCTCCTCGAGTGCCATGTTTCATGCATAGTCCATGGAAAAAAATACCCATGTGATGATAGAGACTAGTAGTGAATGCTTTCACAAATAGACCACACAGGTTGAAACGGAGGCCACATGATCTAACGGATGGAAAAAGAAGTACCCATGTGAGGATAGAGACTAGTAGTGAATGCTTTCACAAATAGACCACGTACAAGATGAAACGGAGGCCACATGATCTAACGGCTGTAAAAATTTAGATGGCGTGGCCTAATGTGGATGCAACTTTATAACAATAAATGATTGCTAATGGTCTCTATCTATATAGGTATATAGGATAAGATCTCAAACTGTAGGTGAAGTGTGATGTACGAGTAGACTGTGAAAATTACATAACCTTTACATGTAGGAACCAAATGTCAATGGGAAAAATTCTCCTTTGGCCCCTCTCTTCTTTCGGCGCTGCATCAGCGCATCACCCCATCCTGTTCGGCATGGTCTCGAGGGTGCTCGTGCTACCTAGTCGATTTGGTGGCGTGGTTGTGTACCGGCAAGCACAGCCTCCTGGTGGATGTCTGCTCGCTCGATGCGGTTGCGCGGCTTCCCGCGTGCTCCCTTAGCACAATGCAGCTTGCCTACCCAGCGCTTGCGTTAGCGTGGCTGCACGGAGGCTGGCGTGCTCGCCTGGTGCGGCGGTGTGCATTGCTAGTGTTTGGCTACAGGAATAAGCAGTGTTGTCACTACAGTATTTTGAGAGAGAAGATAAAGCCACGGCTGTAGCAGCAGCTGCTCCGAACAGCTTTATTGTTCTCAATATCCATTTTTGAGACGTGGTCATATCAAAAATAAGAGAATTGTCTTAAAAAATTATCTATAGAGATGATTATTTTCCAGAGTGTCTCTTCAAAGTGAACGATCGTGTTTGTAGTTCTCATAAACTAAACGACCATCTTTCGAATTCTCTGGCCTATCTGAATCCTTTCATTTTTGAAGTTTAGATACAAGCCTGTCTTAAATTTATGGGGTTGAGAGATAGAAATTGATTCGATAGATCCCATGTTATCGCCGTGTTATGTTTCCTTGGTCAAATCGATCCGATACATCGGTTGCCTTTGCCGGTCTCTCACGGTTCAGCTAGCCATGGCTTGACTGACCGGAGACCTACTCTGCAGTGCGCTTGCATTTGCCGGTGCGGTCGTCTTTCATATCAGAGGAAAGTTGCCAACCCACTGGCTTGTTGCTGGCCGTCACTCAAATTATTGGGTCTGCTTTCCAAACCAAGCAAACAAAACAAACAGAAAAGAAAAAATAAAGGGAAATCGCTGGCTCCGCTGCTATAAATATGGCCTCCAAGACCACAGAGCTTCAGCAAGCAGTTGCTAGATATAGTAGCATATACTCCAACTCGCGGGAAGCCCGAGAGCCAAGCAGCCAAAGTGCGATGGCGTCCATCACCAAAACCGCCAGTCTCCTCGTGCTCACACTGTTCGTCATCTCCGCGGTGATCTTGCCCACCTCCGTATGCCATGGAGCCCGCGGCGTTGGTGGTTAGCCATTCTAAACTGATGCTCTCAGTTATTTAAATATACTGTTAGTCCTGTAGCTTCTGACAGTGGACTATATAGGTTGTGTACTCCTAGTAACTGATGAGAAACTAGGCATTTGACATGATTTCCAATTTTCCATGGTTAGGTATTGGCAGCGGCGCTTTGCAGCCTGACCATCCTGCGTGCATCGGGGCGTGCCCAGTTCATGGGCGTCCCTACCTTCCCATTCCCGGGCACGGTCGCGGGCCTGGTGCCTCCTACCCTGAGACACCGCTTCCCCCATTGAACGGAGAGAAAACACATCACTGATGGCTGCCTCGGATCACGTGTCGTCCATCGTATGGTATGCAGTGCCCAAACGGATTGACATAAAGATGGAACGATGCCCCGCGCATGACTGCATATTAGCTATGCCATGTACCTGTGCAGCTGCGCTTATATATAAAGTATGATGAATAAAACTGCAGTCGAATGGTGAAAATTTCTTCTGCTGGATGACATGAATAAGTGTGTGGACTGGTGGTGTGTGGATAATGATGGAAGACAGGGCTACATGAGATCAAGAGGAAAAAAATTACTTTATTCGTTTGTTTTATCCTATCCGTATATTAATGATCAACAAGCTTCTTTCTTAGACTAAGAGGCAAAAAAATCCGTTTCAACATACTACCTGCTACACCCCATAAATTTATTGGCTACCCAAATCTCCTCTCCCACTACCATTTCTATTTTGCCGAAGAAGACTATATATCCAAATCTTCTCTCACCAATACGCCTCTCTCTCTCCTTCGTACTCGCCCGTCTGCGGACGGCGTGCCCCAGTGGCGTGGATCCCTTGTCCGCCGTGCTCGTCCTCGGTAGGCCCTGGCAGCGTGGCTCCCTTGCCCCGGCACGGCGGAGCTCTGCAGCCTCCTCCCCAGTGTGGCGGAGCTCTGCGGCTCCACCCCGGTGGATCTCCCCAGTGGCGCAAGCAGCCCTGTCTCCGGCGCGGCCTACCAGCGCGACCTGGCGGAGCTCCCACGACGGCGGAGCCCGCCGTGACGGGCCTCCCTACCACGGATCCCGACGCAGGTGTGGCTCCCGACGACGGCGGATCCCGGCAAGGGCGTGGGCTCCTCTGCTCCGGTCACGGTTGCTCCGACGAGAAGAACACAAGTGAGGATGACATGTGGGACCAACACGTCATTCGCTACTATGATGAAAATGGGTAGCCATTGAGAGCAAAAAATGAAGACTAAGAAACATCAAAAGATGAATATTTTCTCCGTTTCAAATTACATGATATTTTGGTCTTTCTAGATACGTTGATTTTATTATGCACTAAGTTATATCTAGATACATAGCAAAAGCAATATATCTAGAAAAGCTAAAACGTCTTATAATTTATAACAGTACTCCCTCCAGTTTCCTAAAGACGTCGTTTTGAGGTTGTCTTAAGTCAAATATTTTAAACTTTAACTATAAATAAATTCTTTTAGGTTGAGTTTGAAAATATGAAAGTGATGTAAGTAGATTTATCTTGAAATGTAGTTTCGTATATATTAACTATATTTTATAGAAAAAATAATGGTCAATATTGTTTTTAGACCGAGTCACGGTTCAAAACGACATCATCTAGGAAATCGAAAGGAGTACGGAAATTGATGAATAAGGGCTGTCCCAGCCTGAAATTACATGTTGTTTCCATAGCATTAAATACCCTGTCAGTTAAACAAAAATGCTGATATGGCAGCCGTATTCGTCAGATTTTCCCGTATCCACCTATGCAGGCTTGCATTTGCAGCCGTTGTGCAGCTCCTGCATCCGCTCTGCAACATCCGAGGAGCAGCCCGGCTTCGCCCACGCGCAGGGATGCACGGGCTCCCTCGTGGCGGCGGGGCCACGCAGCTGCGCGCGCGGCCTCCGCATCCGAGGAGGAGCAGCCCGGCTTCGCGCACGCGCGGGGGTGTGCGGCCTCCCGAGCGGCGGCTGCATGGCCTTGCGGCGGCGGCGGCTTCATCCTCATGGGTCACGACGGCCGGCGAGATCTCGTGACAGCTTCGTCCCCTGCATTCCGGTGTCAGCCTCCTGCAGCTCCATGGCCGATGTAGTGATGGGGATTGAGGGGTCTTTCGCCGACGGCTGCCTCTTCTCTAGCACCTCCGACAGAAGCGTCACCAAAAAAAGGAAGCTCAGCCAAATATGAAACCTGAGAGGGGAGGAAAAGAAAAGCCAATATGACGAGCAAAATGGGTGGCTGTGGAAAGAAAATATCCACCAAGAGGCTACTCGCTGGGCCATGCTAAATTGCATAGATGGCGTGATGTATCCGGCGTACCCTCCAGCCAACCAATAGTCGACAACAACGGCCACCGACGCCTGTTACGGCTTTTTTAGGGGCTGTTTGGATACAACCCTGGCCAAAATTGCCTGGGGAGGCCCCTTGCCTGTACGTTGCCTGAATGTCATTTGGTTGGAGCCCTGAGTTTCTTTGCCTGGTGTGAATGCCTGTGTTGGTTGCCTGTGGCCAGGCGCATGAAATTGATCGCCTGGGAGGCCACCGAGCTGCCTGGTTTTTTAATCACCGTAAAACACTGTTGTCTTATCTCCATGCAACCAACGAACCAAACGGTTGTCCCGTTCTTCTATCCACTCAGGCAAATATCCAGGACTTCAACCAAACGGTACAACAGTTTCTTCATCTGCCTGACCAGGCATTTTTATAACCGGTGGCAGGCAGCTCACAGGCAGGTGGAATGCCCAGGCAAATAGCTCAGGGTTACATCAAACATGCCCTTAGTGCAGATGAAGAAGAATCGATCCCTTACTCCTCCAGCTAATCAGTAGTCGATAACAATGGCCACCGACGTGCTAGCAGCAGGAAGGCACCGGAAGAAGAGGGAAACAGTTCCCTTTGGCAAGGAGAAGGCCACATCAGGCCTAAGCATCAACACCATCTGCAAAAAGGAACAAAAAGAAGACAACGCAGCCAAAGAAAAGAGTACTGGGACACAAAAGGTTCGAAGTGCAGCATGCTAGGGGCCCGCACCGGCGGCGACCCTAGGTTCCTGCCTGGGCTCCAGGTTTGGCGAGCAACGGAGTCCTATACAGCGCACGGGGGAAGCTCGCTCTGATGTCCTAAAAGAACGCGAGATGAGAAGAGACAATAGTAATGCCAAATTGTCAGTGATCTTTCATGAGTTTGCTTTTGTGGTTGTTGGCAATGTTAATTAGCTATAAGTATCTGGACGGTTACATGCCTAGTACACAGTATCTATAACGAGAAGAATCTGGGCGATACTAGCAGGTACCTAATAAATCGATGAACAAGCGTTGTAGTGCACGTAAAATACAGTACATGGTCATGTTATTTGGAACGGGGGAATTCACGGGACCAAGAAGCAATTTGCATAGACGAGGCCGCCGGTTGAGCGGCACCAAAATGGCTGCATATGTATGATGTTAACCATTTGGATGGTTGCCCAATGGTCGCATCCTTTGCTAGAGATGGAAAGGGAAAGTTGTCTTAGACTGCTTGCATCCGCCACTGCTTGCGTCCCAATTGTTGTATCTGAGATAGCAAGAACATGCCATCTGGTAATTCACATACTGAATTCAACATTTCAGCTGCAGCTGAAACTGCAAGACACCACATATTTCAGTTGTAATCTGCTGGACGCGATTTTAAGCTCCGGATCGGAAAACCGGTCTTCACGGGAAGGAATGGAGAGTCTGTTGGAGATGCCTTGCAAATAGGAGATATATACTAACAGTATACCTATATCTACTACGCAAGCCGCACCCCTAACATGGCCGCCGCCGCCACCACCAACGGCGCCCTTGCCATGACCAACGCCACCGTTGCCACTGCCAACGGCGCCAGTACCGACGGCACTCCTGCCACCACACCGAATGGCGCCTCCGCCACGGCCGCCTACGGCTCCCCCGCGTCCCACCATGGCGCGAACGGTGCCGGCGACGGCGTTCCCGTGCCAGGCTCAGGCCGCGACCACGTCGTCATCTTCCCCTTCATGGTGAAGGGCCACATGCTGCCGCTGCTCCACTTCGCGACGGCACTCTCGGCGCAACACGGGAGGAGCCGCTGCCTTCGTGTGACCCTGGTCACCACCCCAGGCAACGTGGCCTTCGCCCGGAGCCGTCTTCCCGTGTCGGTGGATCTCGTCGCACTCCCGTTCCTGTCGTTCCCGCCGCTTCCCGCGGGCGTCGAGTCCACCGACGCGCTCCCGTGCCCGTCGCTGCACCTGACATTCATGCATGCGACGGGGCTCCTGCGCGGGCCCTTCGCCGAGTTCCTGGCGTTGCTGCCTGTTAGGAATCGAATGTGTACCTCTCTGTAACCCGTAGATCCAGGGAAGACCTCATCCTTGTCTTCTCCGTAGATGCACCATAGCGGGTAGACGCCATTGCCGCTTGGACGCCGGTGTAGGGGCAGCTCCGGCTCGGTGGCGAGACGGCGGTCCGGTGGTGACCCTGCAGTGGTGCGACGGCGGTGGTGGGGCACATCCCGTCGATGGCAGCACGGCCTTTAGATCGGATTAGGGTTTTCTTTATGTGGGTGGCGGCTCTGTTCAACCTCGTGACCCGAGCCCAGTTCCCCACTCCTCTATATATATATGTGCTGTGCGACAGGGGCCCACCAACCAGTTAGGGTTGGGCTCCCCCGATCAGGGAGCAGAGGCAAGGGCCCAATAGGCCGTGGAGATCAACTAACATTCTCCCCCTTGATCTCATTCCATCTTTCAATTTCATATCATTTACTTTTGTTCATTCCATTACAGATTAGCGCATAGAGCATGTCTCACCGTCCCGGTCCATTGCCGATAGATTTAACAGCTACAACACACTACTCTGTTATGAAATAGATACTAATCTTTGGGCCTTCTTTTGTCCAGGAATTTTAGGATTTCCCTTAAACCCATGCTAGCTACATGTTCTCTGAACACCATGTTCTCTGAACATGTTGGGTGGTAAGCCTTTTGTAAGCGGATCCGCGAGCATCCTTTCTGTTTTTATATGCTCAAGACTTATGACTTGTGACTTGATCCCGGACTTTATCTTTCACAACATAATACTCTATGTCAATGTGTTTGGCAGCACCACTTGACTTATGTTGTGAGCATCCTTTACTGCCAGATTATAATCGCAGTATAACTTTTAGTGGTCTATAGATGTCGTCAACCACCTTCAAACCGGATATGAACTTCTTTAGCCAGTTCACCTGCCCATTGCCTCATAACACACTACAAACTGTCATACATTGTGGACGATGTAGTGACGGTTTGCATTGAGCTTTTCTATGAAATAGCTCCCCTTTGCGAGATGATAGAAAATCCATGTCTGAACATGCATTCACTCTCGCATAATCAGAATCTGAATATCCCACCATGTGGAGTGAATTAGATCTTCTATATGTCATCATGAGGCATTTCGCTCCTTGCAAATAATGCAAGACTTTCTTTACTAATTTCAGTGTTCTATTCCAGAATTGCTCTGGAATCTGCCAAGTAAAATCCGGTAACAAATGCCAAGTCAGGGCGCGTACATACTTGAGCATGTTGCAAGCTTTCAACAGCTGAAGCATATGGAACCACTTTCACTTTATCGATTGAGCTCATATTGGTTCCTGGGGCATTGAAAATCCCCATATCTATCGCCCTTGACTATAGGAGCAGGTGAGGGACTACATTTGTGCATACTGAATTTCTTTAAGATCTTTTTCATGTATGCCTTTTGTGATAGTCCTTATACCATTTTCTTCTATCTCGGTGAATCTCGATCCCTAGAACGAACGAGGCTTCGCCAAGATCTTTCATATCAAATTTTTTTGTCTCCAGTAGTAGACTGACATCACTACTAGCAAGTAAGATATCATCTACATATAGGACAAGGAAGATAAACTTCCCATTCTTAAACTTTGTATTGACACAATTGTCATCTACCTTCTCTTTACTTTGTATAGACACAATTGTCCTCTACATTCTCTTTAAAACCCAAAATTCTTTATTGTCTGATCAAACTTCAAGTACCACTGCCTTGAAGCTTGTTTTAATCCATAAATGGATTTCTTTAGGCGGCATCACATTCGTTCTTTTCTTTTCATGACAAAACCTTTTGGTTGTGCCATGTAAACATTTTTCTCCAAGTCTCCGTTGAGAAATGCCGTCTTTACATCCATTTGATGTAATTCTCAATCGTAATGTGCCACTAATGCCATTATGATTCTGAAGAAAACTTTACATGACACTGGAGAAAAGGTATCATTGTAATCAATCCTTTCTCTTTGCATATAGCCTTTTTTCACAAGTCACACTTTATATTTCTCTATATTCTCTTGAGAGCCAAGTTTTGTTCTGTAGACCCATTTACAGCCTACTGTTTTGGCTTCTTTAGGAATTATTTCCAAGTCCCAAACTTTATTGGCATTCATTGATTTTATTTCATCTTTCATGGCCTCAAGCCACTTTGATGAATGATCACTTCTCATGGCTTCTTCAAATGAGGTGCGATCATCCTATATTTGAAATTTCTTAGTGTTGTACACTTCATAATCAGCAGGAATAGCTGATTTACTAACTCTTTCAGACCTTCTAGGGGCCTCCACATTTGGCACATCTTCTGTTTGAGGCTGTTGTTGCTCCCCCTCATGTGTGACAATAGGTTCTTTAGGATCCTGAAGAACAGGTTCCTCATCGTCATTCATTGTTGCCACAGGTGGGATAACAACAGGTGCTGGCACCACAGTATCTAGTACTATCGGTGCAGCGACAATAGGTAGTGAGAAAAATGGCTCATGAATCATTAGAGCGGGCGTATACACCCATTTTATTTCAAGGTCAATTTCTTGAGCTACCATGCTCCCCCTCATCAATTCATCCTCTAGGAAGACAGTGTGTCTCGTTTCCACAAACTTTGTATGTCACTCTGGATAGTAGAAACGAAAACCTTTTGACTTTTCTTTGTAGCCAATGAAATGGCAACTTACTATTTTGGGATCTAGTTTCCTAATGTTTTGGTTAAATACTTTAGCCTTAGCAGGGCTCCCCCACACACTCAAGTGTTTAGTGAGGGTACTCTTTCTGTCCACAACTCATACGGTGTTTTGGGCACCGACTTTCTTGATACTTTATTGAGAATATGAATGGCCGTTTTCAACGCCTCCATTCACAGGCTCAACTGTAAGGTGGAGTAACTTATCGTACTGTCCACCATATCCATCAGGGTACGATTGATTCTTTTAGCTACTCTATTCTGCTGAGGTTCGCCCGGTGTAGAATACTGGGCTACTATGCCATTCTTTTAGGGTATGCTGACCGTAGTACTCCTCCACGGTCAGACCTGACTATATTAATCTTTATTATCTTAAATTTATCCAATACATCTTTTCTTTCTTTGATTGGATAAATATAGCCATAATGGGAGTAATCATCTGTGAATGTTATGAACGAATCATAACCATCCACACTCTTTACAGGAAAGCTGACCACAGATGTCAGTGTGAATAATCTGTAAAATTTCTGTGCTTCGTTTGCCATCTTTCTTTACATACTTTCCTTTTATGCATTCTCTGCATTGTTCTTAATCTGAGAGCTCTAATAGAAGAAGAATATCATTTTTAACTTGTCTTTCTATTCTCCCCCTCGAAATATGGCCTGAACGATAGTGCCATAATTTCGACAACGCATCGTGAGCTCTCTTATACCATCATTTCCAAATTAACTTTCTGTCACCAGCTGCTTTATCAGTTGTGTGGCATATGTCTTTAAAGAGCCAGTGAACTGACTCTTTATTCTATCGAGGTACTCGGTGACCGTGTCACATACTGGGATTGAGCCCATAATTGCAGGTTCAATCATGTTCTTTATCACAGCCAAACATTTCTTGTTGGCATTGACCCACTTCCTATGCTCAAGAGTCAAAGAACATCTTTTGGGATTCAAAATCTCTTTCTTTAGTTGCCCAAGCGGCATCATTCTCTTTTGTCTCCCTCACCGGTGCCATAGAATCAGTGGGACACGGTGAGGTGACTACCCAGTTCACCTTAAACAAGATGAAAACCAGATCAAATCTTTTCTTAACATAAAATTAACACTATTTGCATGCCTTGATAACAACGTTGGTCAAAATCAAAACATACAACTATTCTTATATACTAATTCTACATCACCGTTGGGCAAAAATAGAATTAATGCATAAATCTTTAACTTTCACAACTGTTCTTACACACTAATGCTACATCACCGTTGGACAGAAGTAGAATTAATGCATAAATCATTAAAATTAACATCTGTTCTTATACACTAATTCTACATCACCGTTGGGCAGAAATAGAATTAATGCATAAATCATTAAAATTATCAACTTTTCTTATACACTAATTCTACATCATCGTTGGGCAGAAGTAAATTAATGCATAAATCATTAAAATTATGATATTGTTATTAACAACGTTGGTCAAAAAATAACATCATAATCATGTCAAATCTCTTTTTCTCCAATTAAATACCACATTGGTTCAAAATAACTGGAGAATCAACATTTTCTTTAGCATCGGAATAAATCTCTTTTTCCCCAATTAAATACCACATTGGTACAAATTAACTGGAGAATAAACAATTTCTCTAGCTGTGGAAAAACTTCTCCTTTTCTTGAATTTTACCCACAGAGAAAATTGTATTTTCTATTTCCTTTAATCCATTAATCAATTTCCAGGAAATAAACATTTACTGAAAAAACTTTTCTTTTCTCCAGTTTAAAATACCTTTTCATATTTTCTTTAAGCCTTTTATCCATTTTCCAGGAAATAAAACCTTTACTGGAAAATGAAAAAACGAAAAATATGACTCAAATGTTTCATTGTTCTTTTGGCCCAAACCGCAAAGGCCCCACATTGCCCACGCGTGGGGCGCTTCCTCCTCTTTCTCCCTCGCCCCAGGCCGCAACTTTGGGCTGGGCGAAATTGCCTAGCGCGCTACAGCACTTTCCGCTTTGAAATGAAAGCCGGCCCGGTGAATCTACGCCGTCCGTCTGATCGGACGGTCGCGCGCGCGGATAGGGAGAACAAAAACCCCGCCCGCGGCCGCGCCCTCCAAACCCTAGTCCATTTCTCTCCGTCTACTTCTCTCTCTTCTTCGTCGCTCTCTCTCTTCTCTCCTCACACCGCAGCGAGGCGAGCGCAACCGAGAGCGAGCGAAGGCGGTGGAGCAAGCGAAACCACGGGGCGTCGTCGCGCCCCCTACGCCAGCGTCTTGCGTTCCCAATGGGTGAGCGTGCCGCCGTCGAGCGCTTTAACCCACGCCAGCTACTGTGGTTTGGATCCGGGAGCAGCAGGCTGCCCCAATGCCCTTTCTTTTCCCACAAGACCGGAGTGATAACAAAGAATGCCAGACGGCGGCGAGGTAAGCAACCCCCTTCCCCCTTTCGGTTTCTTTGGTTCTTGTGTTCGGATTTCATCCGATTTGGGGTATGAAGTTAGGGTTAGGGTTTCACTGTTCATCTTCATGCACCGGCGAGACGGCAGCCCTTCCCTTCTTCCCCTTTTTTCTTTTTTTCGATTTGGATTTTGTTCCTCTTTTCCGAACTGGTTAGGGTTTGGATCTTCCCCTTCGGATTTGAGTTGGATTTTCTTTCTTTTCTTTTCGCTTGTTCACCCGAAAAGGGGATCTAGGGTTAGCGTTCGCTTTCTTTTGATTTCTTTTTCTCTTTTTTGGAGTTCATCCGAATGGCTTTCCCTTTTCCCTTTCTCCATGCGAGTTAGGGTTAGGGTTCGGTTGAACCCGGATTCTTTCCCCATCTTCCCCTTTCCCCTTCTTTTGGGATTAACCCGATTTGGGATTGGGGTTAAAATTAGGGTTAGGTCTTAGGGTTCGGATGCCACTCTTCTTCTTTCCTTAGATCCGAACTGGATCTGTTCGGTTCTTTACTTTTGTCGTGCGCCGTCGAACGGTGCGGCTTCTTTCCCCCCACGCACGGTGGCGGTGATGACCGGTAGACAGTGATGTCCGCCACCCCAGTTACTCTTTTCTTTGCTTTTACCCGGTTAGGGTTAGGGTCACACAGAGGCAACCTGGCTCTGGTACCATTGTTAGGAATCGAATATGTACCTCTCTGTGTAACCCGTAGATCCAGGGAAGACCTCATCCTTGTCTTCTCCATAGATGCACCACAGCGGGTAGACGCCATTGCCGCTTGGACGCCGGTGTAGGGGCAGCTCTGGCACGGTGGCGAGACGGCGGTCCGGTGGTGACCCTGCAGTGGTGCGACGGCGGTGGTGGGGCACATCCCGTCGCTGGCAGCACGACCTTTAGATCGGATTAGGGTTTTCTTTAGGTGGGTGGCGGCTCCGTTCAACCTCGTGACCCGAGCCCAGTTCCCCACTCCTCTATATATATGTGCTGTGCGACAGGGGCCCACCAACCAGTTAGGGTTGGGCTCCCCCGATCAGGGAGCAAAGGCAAGGGCCCAATAGGCCGTTGGGCCTATTGGTGGAGATCAACTAACACTGCCGTCCCTGCCGCTCGCGCTCGTCTCCGACTTCTTCCTCGGGTTCACGCACCGCGTCCCGGCCGACGCGGCGGTCCTCCGCGTCGTGTTCAACGGCATGTCCTGCTTCGCCTCGGCGATCTGCAAGGTGCTTGCCGTGAGCCAGCTACCCAGCTTCGAACCGGGGGCCATGATCCAGGTGCCCGGCATGCCCGAACACGTGGTGGTCAGGGCGGAGGAGGTCCCCGATGGGGTCACTAAGAGGGCCGACCCGGACAACCCGTTCACGCGCTTCTTCATGGACGAGATCGGTGACTCGGACGTGCGCAGCTGGGGCGTCCTCAGCAACAGCTTCGCCGCGCTCGACGAGGCCTATGTGCCGTTCCTGGAGTCGTTCTACGAGGCGGGAGCCCGTGCCTGGCTTGTCGGCCCGCTGTTCCTGGCTGCCGCCGGCGACATGCCGGACGGCGACAAGGAGCAAGACCCCGAGGGCTGTCTCTCGTGGCTCGACGAGAGGGCGGCGGCGCACCCGGGGTCGGTGGCCTACGTTTCGTTCGGGACGCAGGCCCACATCACGGACGCGCAGCTGGACGAGCTGGTGCACGGGCTGCTGCAGTCCGGCCATCCCTTCCTCTGGGCTGTCCGATCTGACACATGGTCGCCGCCGGTGGACGTGGGGCCCAACAGCCGGATCGTCCGTGGATGGGTCCCGCAAAGAAGCGTTCTGGCCCACAAGGCAGTTGGTGGGTTCATGAGCCATTGCGGGTGGAACTCGGTGATGGAGAGCCTCGCCGCCGGGAAGCCCATGCTGGCATGGCCGATGATAGCGGAGCAGCACCTCAATGCAAAGGCACGTGGCCAACATCATCGGCGTCGGCGTCAGGATAGCCCTGAAGGCTGGCGCGGACGTCATCGGAAGCGCGGAGGTCGAGGAGAAGGTTCGGGAGCTCATGGACGCTGAATGCAAGGCGGCGAAGCAGATGCGGGAGAGGGCTGCGTGGGCGCAGCAAGCAGCGAGGTCAGCGGTGAGCCACGGTGGAACTTCGGCCATGGCTTTGCAGAAGCTTGTGGAAGAGCTTCAGGAGACCTATGATGACGTCGTAGGCAAAGGTGCAAATGGTGTTTAGAATGATCTTTCGAGTATTTCTGTTAGGTTTGGTGTTCAGAATGATATTTCCAGTACTTCTGTTAGGTTCAGTTTCACGAGGACACAGGGGGCCTACCTACAAACATGTGTCATTAGTTCTACTATGCTTTTTCTATTTTTCATTATATAATGTCAGCATGTGTTCCCTTTATATTAGCTGCATGCGTTTGTTTCACAGAATATCAAATTAGATGGAATCCAAACAAACCCACGAATCCTTTCCCAGGAACGAGTTATCCAGTAAAGTAGCAGGAAAAATAGCTGGTATCAGTATCATAGCCCTTATTCTCACCACCATATTTTACACGACATTGAACATTACCAATTGTTGTTTGAGAAATTCAAAAAACTAACCCTTTTCGTGTATTGTATGGTCCTTGTTAGTAGCTCAAAATTAACCCTTCCAATGGTCATTCAGACCATAAGAAGCACAAGGATTAAGCTCTGGTGGCCTGCTATGTTTGGGCTGAGCAGTTTGGGGGATAGACAGAACTCTGGTGGCTGCTATGTTTGGGTTGAGCAGTTTGGGAATAGACAGAAAGCGTGCTTATCGAGATCAAAAAAAAAAAAGCGTGCTTATACACCGTCTGAAACCTGTGGAAGGAGCAGACGAGTTTTCGACAACAAAGAACAGACGCCCACACATATAGCAAGCCTAATCACGCAAGACATCCTCCTCAATGAAACAGCGCATGGGCAATATCCTGCAGATAACTAGCTTGTATATGCAGGTTTGGGCGTTTGGCCATGGCTGCAATCTACTGCAGCAAGGCAAGTTGCTAACTTCTTTCCCCTATTTACCTTTTCCTTTTCAGCATCCTGATGAATTTCTGGCAAGAGTGTAAATTTGTACTGTTTTCTCCATATCTACTTAAATGCAAAGGCAGAGCACCTGCCATTCCATGCTAAAAAAATGTGAGCTCAAAACTTCCAGCATACAGCCTGTAAACTATGAGCTATAGGACTAATAATGATCGCATTTATACAACTTAAAACTGGCACTGAAACTGCAAGGACACGACACATAGGAGAGAAATAAATAAAAACAAATCATTAATTCATTTATTTTTCAAAAAATTGAGATGGCCTTGGTATCCAGCAATTTACAGAACGAATTGAGTATGCCAGTGATGAACAATCAGATCCTAACAAATAGTATGACAGATTCTTGAAGGAAGATATCAGCTTATGGTGCCATTGTAAAACATCAAGATAAACACCGGCAGCTTAGGCATCCCCAGCTTAGAGACAACGGCCACCAAATCTGGTGAACACCGGTAGCCACGATGCCTAGATCTAAGGTGGGACGCCGCAACGATGAGAGTTGAGAGGAAGAGGGAGACAAATGAGATGAGAAAGATAAGCCCATATGCACCCTACCAATCACAAGTTAAGCTTTCCTAGCAATACAGATTCTCGCCAAAAATATTGGCAGCCAATTGCTCACTGCACGATTGGCCAACACTAATCTTTGGCAAAGCCTTTACCAGACACTAGCATGGCTTGGACCAGTCCAGCAGCGTGCAAAAGCGCTCAACGTGAATAAAATCCATTACTCTAGATCGTGGGATGCAGGGTATTAACAGCTCAGTGATGGTATTAGTAGATGATTAGCATAATTTAAGGCATATTGATATATTTTGAAGTAAATTAAGCCTTAAAGATAAATATTATACAATCGATTCAAGGAAAATAAAAATCATCTTAGTACTCCCTGATCTTAGTACTTGTTTTTTATTTCAGTTTAATACAACATATCCTAGTGCAACCAATCAAACAAATGCTCTACTCAGCCTGATCTTTAGGATGCAATGAACCAAACAAGTTTTTGCATGTCATTGGCCTGTCCCTGCCAGCCTAGCTAGGCTCTCCTTGACAGCGAACTAAATAGGTTATAGCATTCTTTGGCTGCCAAACTTATGGAAATTAAACAATTATGACCTTAAATAAGTGTGGCATGCTTAACATGTGGTGTGGTAACCTGTGGTAGCCATCCAAACCAGCCCTTGCTACGGTTAAGTCGAATCTGAAAAAGAGACATCTTCACATGTACTGTTGTGAATAACTCTTAAGCGCAAGAGACAAAGAAGGATAAAAATATTGGAAGAAGCTACAACTATCCACTTTGAGTACACTCTCTGCTCAAGAATGGCTATAAAGCCTACAAAGAGTCAGTGCCATATTGCTTCTTTGAATATGGAGGTTGTTCGAACTCCATTGTATACTGAATGCTATAAAGGCACCCTGGATGAAGGCTTATCAGTAATTATTCCAATGGTTACCAGCTCTACGGCTAAAATAGTTACTCAGCTGGTTTACTTGTTGCATGTTTGCAGGCTACTCCATGGCCCTGTTGCCTTGTCATCTCATTGCCAGCAACGATGAAGTAAGCGGTGTGCCTGGAAAAAGAAAACAAATGAAAGTTTTAGCGGAATTGTTGGTTAATTAGATACAAGAACCAGCGAAACTTAAGTCATAATGCAGACCTAAAAAAGTTCGTCATTTTGGTTTTTGAGTCCACATCTATGCTTTCAGTTGCATCCAAAGCTTGTTGCATGTGGTGTAGCCACCGCTCTGCCGCTCGGTGGGTAACCAGGAACGGTCGATGTCTTCCTATAAGGGCAGGGTGTCCTGCAAGAAAAACCAGACAAATTGGGCTTACAAGTCCAAATTATCTTGAGAGCAATGAATAGAAAACACAAAGTAGAAAAGCATTGGCACTACATCACTACATAATGTTAACAACAACAGAATGTACCAGAAACAATAGTGGCACTGAACATGAAGACACTCATTTCTTCATTCATTTTGGGCAGATCATCTAGCCAGACATGCAAACGAACAACAACAGAAAATGGCTAAATGAATCTTTTTCACTCTATTAGTGACTACAGAATACACAATCAACCTCAATCGAGAATCACAACTTGTACTATTTATTGAATAAGGTGCTTCAGGTTAGGATAAAGCCAGGCCCCTGATCAAACCAAGCAATAATTGAAATGAAAAATATTCACTCTCCTTGGAACAATTGATGAACAAATAGATCGACAAAAGAGAAGAACACTATATCATTCTTGGATACTCTCAGGTCAGGCATGAAGCACTCAAATAAATATTGCTGATAGTGATAACTATATGTTTAAAGAACTGAATCAACAGAGTAAATACGGGGCCCCTTGGGAGAGCTCCAGCTCCAGCTTCTCCGAAGAGAATCACTCCCAACCAGCCAAACGCTCAAAATGTCAACTGATTCAGGTGGACATTAGAAGAGAATCACTTCTCCATTTACACTACGAGCTGGGAGCTAAACAAATCTGCTTCACCCTGCTCCCTGTTATATTCTAGTGGGGATCAGCAGAGAAGAGAATCAATTCTCATCAGCTCCCCACCCTGCTCCCTCCTAGGAATCCAATGGAATCACTCCATCGGAGAATCAAGGAGCAGAACTGAAGAATCAGGGAGCGGAGCTCTCCCAAAAGGGGCCTACAAGTGCCACGGAGGTATGCTGCTGATTAACATGAAAGAACCAACAAGACTGCAGACAGTAACAAGAAAAAAAAAACTTAACGAGAATGTAAACAGGGGCTGAATCACCACATACTCATTTCTCTCCTAGAAGTTTAGGCTTATAGTGTGCGAGAGTGTACAATTTCATTAACAGAGAAGAGTTACAGGCCCCTAGAGGCAAGAAAAGAAAAAAAACGCTCTCATTCTAGACCTGAAAGTTGTTATAGTGTCATGAAACACAGCAACAGTAGCAATTCCACTAAGTAATGCATTAGCAGGGAATATGACTGGTAAACATGTGCAAGTGCAGAATGTGTAAAAAGAATATCATGGATCGCTCCCCTTATCTGTACATCATCTAAACTTGTACTTTTCAGGTTTCAGGAACATGACCGATGACTGTCAGCGCGCAAAGACACCAAAGCAGATTTTCTTCCCCGCTTCCACGCTACGTGGCTAAGACCAAACTAAATAACTTTTCCACAAAATTAACCAAAATCATATAACAACATTCATCCCTCATTTCCTCCACCCAATTTAAGTAAATCACACGGAGTCCCACAGGTCGAAGACGAAGAGGCACGAGCTACTTTACCTCTCCTCTGGGAGAAGAGAGGCGGGCCGCCCATGCGCTGGATCAGGAACTCATACTGGTTCTGGATGGCATCCTCCTTCTTGGACCCCGCGAATATCTCCCGAAACCACTCCTCCTCGTCCTCATAAACCCTATAAAATCCAGAAATTCAGCAGGACACGAGCGAAAACATTCTAGATCGGATTGGTTCAAAGCAGAGGAGAACAAGGGAGGGACAGAGTTGCCGACCGACGGACGGACCTGGTGTAGAAATTGGTGGAGAGGTCGACGAAGGGCTGCGGAGTGCCGCCGAGGGACTCGAATATGTTGACGTCGTCGATGGCGAAGGCATCGGCGGCCGCCACGCCGCTCCACTCCGACGCCTTGTCCTGCAGCGACTGCATCCCGCCCCCCGAAACCACCCGTGAGAACGCACACCGCAGCGGACGGCGGCGCTTATTGGCTGAGTTGACTTTTGCCGCAACCGCGGGGAAGGAAAGGAAGGGATATGTGTGCGCCGTGCGCGTGTGGGCGACGCGCTCCCGGGTCCCGGCTTTATACCGGCCACGCTCCACCGGCCAATCGGGTGGCGAGCACGCGCGGCCGGGGTTCCACGGGCCCAGGTGTCGGTGAGCGAGGTGAGCCTGCGTGGTGGACGGTGACGTCGACATGCTATGTCACGAATGATGATATTTGCTACCCACGGATTAGAAAAGACGCCCGCGGTTTTGCTTGGGTAAGTTTCTTTTTCCAGGTGTGGTTTAAGAGCAACTTGTTCTATTTGTATCAAAATAACAGTTAATTGTTAAAAATTAGCTGAGTGATTCAAACATACGCAGCTAATTGGCTAACCAACTGAGCATCTCCAATAGTACTAAAATTAATTCTACAAATCTGGTTTTCAACTTTTTCAATAAATATTGAAGGCGAAAAAACAAGCCATTACCGACACTTTTCAATAATTTATTCTAGACAAGCAAAAAAGCATGTCCACTCCATGTTCGCTTCTCTTATAATCCGTATTTTTCAGCTTCTTTTTTTAGCCGGAACAGTGTTTTTCTCTCAAAACAAATCAGCCGAAACAGTGTTTTGGCTTGTTTTTTCAGCGAAGCGAACGGGGCCTTAGATATTTGGTCGCCGCCTGTTCCACATCAACAATGTTCTTATTGCCGCTACCAGCCAACCATCTCCTACACCTAACCCACACATATAACCTACAAAAGGAATCCCCATTGTTTCTCTACTTCTATGTATTCTCATATCTAAAAATAGTGAACGGATCCAATTCCGACGAACCACTAAAAGCCCTAGTTTAGTTTTCGTATCTGAGTGACAACTAGTGGACTATTGCTTTTGAATGAAGATGACCATGACCATGAAGCAAGTGCTCAACATTTGGAGAAGAGATGGAATTGAAAATAAGCTCGGAGGCAATGGTATATGCGTAGGGGCTTTGTTTCGTCGGCCAAGATGTAATAAAGTGCACGGTAGTGCTTGTGATAGATATTCGTACTATCAAGAGGGTGGCTCTAAAGTGATTACAGTTATCAAGTGCTACTACTCCCTCCGCCAAATTATAAGTCGCTTTAACGTTTTTGGTACATCCATTTTGTTATGCATCTATGTATAATAATATGTCTAGATACATAGCAAAATAGATAAACCAAAAAAACCAAAGCGACTTATAATTTAGAACGTAATAACTAACTTTGCATTTGCATTAGATCTAGTGCCGTGGTAGGGGAGCAAATGAAAAAAATATTTTGAGAACTATTTTAAAATGCTAACTCTGTGCTAAATAGTTGATGTTCACGTGGAATACATTTGGAGTTATCGCACTTGCAAGACTGGTTTGAAACCCACACTTGGTGGTGGTGTTTTGCACTCATTGGCGTCCTGCGGTGGTCACCAGACTTGGTGCACCCGGAGGTCTCAATCAGTGCTGTAACTTTCTGTATGTAGCGAAGTTTGGGAACAGTGCCGATTGATAGCTCGCGAAGTTCAATTGTGCACACCTACGCTCTCTAGTATGCTCACGGTGTGACTCCAGAGGCAACAATGTTTTCTGCGCACTTGAGGCGTTGCACTGACAGGAGCTCTCCGGTAATTTCACTGGAGATGCACTGGAGTGTTGGAATCGTTCTATGGCTAGTTTTGTAGCCATTGGAGATCTCCGGTGTGGGCACTCAGCTGGTGCCAACAATTTCTACACAGTAAGCTTGCAACTGCTAGTTTCGTGGAAAAAGTGGCATCAAGGAGAAGAAAAAATTTAAAACTTGTATAGGAGTCACAGTGAACTTTTCAATGATACATACAGATTGGCCATCTTTTCCTGTAACACACAGGGGATTGTGCGTTGTTATGTTACATGGACTGTATATTTTTGTTTGCTCCAATAAGACTTAATGTGAAGGCTTTTTTAATTGAATCAATAGAATTGAAAAGTTCAATGGAGTTCGGTGTTGTAACAGAAGGACCACCACTGGAAAGTTCAATGGCATTTTGTGACTGAGTTATTCTTGGTGGCAATCATATAAATATTTTAGAAAAAAATTCTAAATTACTCCCTCCATAGAAAAGTTGTCTGGGTAACCCATAAAGCAATTATGTGTTCAATATTTGAATTTACCCCCTCTTAATCTTTCAGTTGGTCCATTCCACCCCTTCATATGATTTGCTTTTTTATTTGTTCTTGTACAAGTTGAGTTTTTAGTTCAAATTTTGTAAAATGGTAGGAAATATCAGAAATTATATTAGAAAAAACATTATGAATTTTAATGATTATTTTTTGTATAATTTTGTATGTGTCGTGTTAATTTATTATTAGATGCCTGAAGTATAAAAAATAATGATGAAAAGTTATAATTTATTTTTCTAGCACCATTGACAAAGTTCTTTATATCCCTACAAAATTTCAACTTAAAACTCAACTTATATGCGGAGAAAAAAAAAAGTCTAATTGTATAAAGGGGCAGACTGGACCAACTATAAGATCTGGAGAAGTAATTGAACCAGATTGTTTTAGGGGAATATCTGGACAATTTTGGTGTGGGGAGAGTAAATTGGACTATTTCCACTATACGCTACACTACCTACATAAATGGATATTCCTCTCGTTACAACACACGGACGTATTATTATAAGAGGAAAAACAAAAGGGAACAAAACAAATCCCCTCGAGACAATGGGCCACATACTACCCCAGTGGGTGTGGGCCTTTAACCGGCCTTCCCTAGTAAGGCCAGGCCCGTAGCTCTCCACGTCGGCGACAAATAGCCGTGGTCACTCGCGCCGCTCCCTACGACTCTCGCGCCGAATGAAACTGCTGCTCTTGCCTGTGCAGGTCTGCAGCCTGCAGGTGTATATTGTATTAGCACGGGATCGAATCGAACGTTGCGGCTCGGCTCACAGTGCCTGGATCCCTTTGGGCCATTTATCCGCACCGTTTGCGATGTGTGATTGTGAATGTGTGATCAGAGCACAGATTGGCAGCGAGGTAGGTGGGCAGGGGTCTTTCTTTTTATAAATCCAAGGACCAGGAGACCGGCCCCTGTCCCCCTCTCCGCAGCCAACACTCCCTCGCCCCGAGACAGCTAAGCGGGTAGCTGCGAGAGACAAGAGGGCGGCGGCCATGGGGGGCGAGAGCAATGGCGGCGGCGCCGACCGGACGGTGGGGGAGGAGGAGAAGAAGAAGCGCGGGGGGCTGTTCGAGGTGCCGGAGATCAGGTTCACCAAGCTCTTCATCAATGGATCCTTCGTCGACGGCGTCTCAGGTACCTGTACTGTACCCACAGAGCACCCGCTCGTGCGTACGTATCTCGCTTCCTGCTTCGTCCCGTTGCCGCAATGCTGCTTCTGCAGCCGCTCGTCGAGAATGGTTTGTTGCTTCCGACTCCGATTCCTGACACCCATATGCAAGTTTTTTTTTTTGGGGGAGGGGGGCGGGGGGTAGTTTTGGAAAGATTTATATCCGACGACAGCTATGCATGCATGCAAAGTCGGTAACTACTCGCCAGCTAGTAGCGATTAACGAGCTCTCTGTGATGAGTAATTGACATACTAAACGACGACGACGTCTGGTTTACTGCTCTACTACTAAGGACCTGTTTGGTAGGGCTCCTCTCCGTCTCCGGCTTCGGCTCCGGCTTCTCCAGAGCCCAGTAAAAAGCGAGAGGTTTTTTTTTGGAAGAGCCGTTTTTCAGTAAAAAACAGAGGAGCCCCTCAGGAGGAGATGTGCCAAACAGTTCCTAAGCAATAGTATCAACAACCTCTAGCTGGCGAATTATTAGCAGCAGGGCCACAGGGCGTGGGAGGGGGGACGCCCATCCCATCTGTTCGCCTCTGGGGAAACCCGTCCTGTGTCCGGTGTCCGCCGTTTGATCGTTTCGTCGGCGCCTCGCCTGGGTTCGTGTCCTTCACGTACCAGCGTGCTTGCTCCTAAAATCCAAATGCCGGGCTGTTATGTTTATTGCTTCCTTTCGCTTGGCCAATTCTGGAACACAAGATAAGTGCACTCGCGCTCCGGTCCCTACTTAAAACTTTTTTACACTACAAACAAGGCTATTCTGCACCAGACAAGAAATGATAATTACTGTGGTCGAACTCGAAGTCTCGAACCCTATAAGAAGAGCTGAACAGAGTTTCACGTGAAAAGCTGCCACCCACACTTTTCAAATTAACAACCACTTAATCGAAGCGTCTGAGCGTCTCATGCGTAACTTATATAATCGATGCGTGCATGTAAAACGACGACGCATGAGACATGTGCCGTTCGCTTGGCTTATAAGTCGTGATTTTTTAGCCAACGAATTGTATTTTTCTCTTATAACAAATTAGCCAAGCGAACGGAGCAATGCTGTGCATGACGTTTACTGCTTGAGAGTTGAGACTCTCTGCTTCTAGAGGCCTGAAGCCGGCGCTATGGCTTTCTGCGTTGTGCCTGTCTCCGTCGCTCTTGCGACTTGCAAGCTCAGGGACTCGGCGTAGTTTGCTTGGTCTGCACAGAGCCTTTCCGTTGAAAAAACCTGACCACTGGTACGGTTTCACCCGTCCAATCAACTCCCTTCCATTAAAAAAAAGGTCAATGTCTAAGTTTATCCTTTTATCAAATTATTTAAAGTTTAACTAAAATTATAGAAAAATGTCAATATGTATGATTCTAAATAGATATATTTAAAAATTATATTATAAGTAATTAATGATATGTATTTAGTATAATAACTATTTATTTTTATATTTGATCAAACTCCAGATATTTTAACTTAAAAAATATGTGGAATACCACGTAGGTAATAGGATCGGAGTACCAAGACATGACAGCGAGAATGGGATCCGCAGTGAGCCCTGCCCATAATTTTCATACTCCCTCTGTTCTTAAATATATGTCATTTTCGCTTTTTAAAAA